GCTGATTTTGGCAGGGGGTGGTGGGTGGTGGGTGTCCATGCAAGTATACCTGAAGAGAGGAAGGGAGAGCATGGCAAGCCAGTGAAGAAACAGAAATGCACTGCTCCTGGGGATGGCAATGATTCGCTCGAGGTGTTGGTTGTTACTGTGATTTCTCGGGGGCTTGGGATATGCACCACCACCATGCCACTCCCAATTGTTCTTCACATGGACAGTAGACACAGGATGCTCCTGGGGTTAATGAAGCCTGTGGAGCTTGACATTTAAGAAGAGGTCATTACTAATTTTTGTAAAGCTTTTCTTCAAGAGCTTCTTGTGACTCAACCCAGCCCTGTTGTTCAGAGAGGCCCAGCCAGTCAGAAAGCAGGGAGATGCAATTCTGGAAACTTGCTTAACCTTTACTAAGACTTCTTCATCTTCTTATCTTGCCACAGTGATGTCTGGCCACTTAGCTCAGGTTTTTTTTTGGAAAAACTTGTTTTATGTATTTTTTTTTAACATTGCAAATGCTGTTCACCTCTTCCCCTCACCTCCATGTATGTGGGCATGGTGTGCATGTATGTTTGAGTGTGAGTACTTTCACATATGTGGGGAGGATGTGCTTGCATGTGGGGGCCCAAGGTTGACACAGGGAGTCATCTTCCATCACTCTGCACTGTATTAATTAATTAATTAATGAGGCAGGCTCTCTCATTCAATCCCAGAGCTCACTGAGATGGCAGCCCTGGCTAGCCAGCTTGTCTCAGGGATTCTCCTTCTTTGCCTTCCCTGTCTCTACCTTAAAACAAGCACTGGAAGGACCCGCAGTCCACCACACCTACCCAGCTTTCCTGCGGATTCTGGGCATGCAAACTCAAGTCAGTCTTCATGATTTTGAGTCAGGGGTGTTATCCACCCAGCCACCTCCAACTGCACACTTCTTTATGGCTGTGTGTCCTTCCCAGCTCATTTGGTCCCACTCCTGAGCCACTAGGAAGTGAAGCCTTTCACCTGCCGTAAAACATAAAACAAAGGCAAGCCAACACAACACACAGCAAAGAAGTCTATCGGAAGACGGAGTAACAAAGGATGCAGCTTGAGTGAGCACCAGAACAAAAATACAAGCAGCCGTCAGTGGCTTTGTGCCCTGTAGGTCTTAGGAAACTTCTAGGGCGCCAGAAGTACTAGAGTTAGCCTGAATGTGGAGAAAGGGAAGAGCAGGACACAGGGTTGGCACAGTTGGGGGTGGGGCTTAGGCAAGCGTACCCGGGCCCTCCAAGTAGAATCAATCACATGATAGATTGATGTAAGTGTGCAGATGTATTTATTCTTTAAAGCCCACACAATCTAAGGCCCAGCACAGGGCTGAGAGCGGCGGGAGTGTGCTGACGGAGCAGTTGAAGGCTTTAAATGCCTCGGACACCGTCTCCTTCCTACACCATGTCGTTGGCTTTTAGGAACGCCATCTTTTCCAGGCAGTCAAGCAACTGCCCAGTTTCACTTTCTGTCTCTCATTCCTCTTCATTCTTCCGGCTCCAAAGAGAGAGGTTCATGGCTTCTTCTACCGGCCACGCCGTTGGCCTGAATTTCCCCCTGATATTTAATATTTAAGATCGTGAAAGTCATGATGGTTTTGCCCCTTTGGCAGGTGCTGAGGAATCTGGGGGGTGGGGATCTGTGGGAAGCCAGACCATGTCTGAGTATGGACATCTCGTCCTTGGTGCATTGGCAGAGGACAAATGCCAAGATTACTATCGGAAGATCATTCTTGCCGGAACCTTCCAGAACAGAGTGTGAACTAGGTTGTGCTGAGAGAGGTTGGTGGGCCAGCTTGTAGTTCTGGGCAGTGGGAGGCAGAGAAGCGTTAAGAAGGGAGCAAGTGCTGAATCTGAGCAAGGAGTTAAGTGGTTAATAGGAACTAAGGCTTTTTATTGGCTAATAAAACCTCTCAAGGTTTTTATATTATATGGTTCCTGCAGGCTCCTAGCCCAGTGCTCAAAAGAAAAAAAAAAATGAAAAAGGCAAAAACAACAACAAAAGGCTCGAGCTTAAAAACCAATGCAACTCCAGTCTTGTTTGCCTTTTCATTTCCGTAGTTGTAAAAAAAAGAAGAAAAAAAAAAAAAAAAAAGAGTACTTTAGATTTATCACACTGCGGCTCAGGACCAGAGATTCTTGCCTCCCCAGGAAAGGAAAACATAAGCCCAGCCTCTCTGTGTTTCGGGAGAGGGAGACCCGCG